TGGGAGGGGGCGGCCGGGGGCTTCGCAGGTGGGGAGAGGAGCTGAAGACTTGGGTGCAGGATTGGCTGCTCTGCTGGGTGCTTTAACCCTCTGGGGGCTGGGTGATGTTGATTAATACACGCTGAGGTGCACTTCTGAGCTTCCCCCCTCCCCCCGTCACTGCTTGGAAGAGGCTGTCCTGTTGTGAGAAATCCCTGAAAGAAGAAGAAGAAGCAGCTTTTCATTTCTCCTCTAGTTCCTTTTTTCTAGATTTCTTTTATTTTTGCAGCACCACTGTGCAACTATGCATTGTATTTCTCAACCTTTTATGCTAGGTAGATGCCTGTGACTTTTTAACTTTGGGGGGGGGGATTGCAAATGGAGGAACTTTTTACATGGATCTTTTTAATCTCAGTTGATTGGGGGGTGTTTGGTTCTAGGGTCATACAAGCTCTATCCCAAAGCAAAATCCAAATGTTAATATTATTAGCCTGATGCAGATACCAAAGATAATTTCTTTCCTGCAGAACCTTAGACTTGTGTATTAAGTACGATTACCCAGCACTTGCATTAGTCTAACCTCAGTAATTCCAAAGCTTAGATGTATATTTTGGTATATTTCTGGGATATTAAAAAATTGTCGTTTAAATTCTTGTTTGTTTCAGTGTAATGCTCTTAAAGTCATAGCATGGAGAAAACTGAACTTGTCCTATTCTTAGTAGTTTGAAATAATAGTATTTTTGTATGTTTTGGGTGTGTCTATGTATGTATTAACATAACAGTTTTCACTGCCTAGGTGTTCATAAATAAAAAAAAAAAAAACAACTAAGGGTTTTTAAACTGTACATAATATTCCATGAGGAATTTCCACCAAAACGCCAATTTGGATTGCATTTTCACTGATGGCCGCTCCCAACTGGGATTCTTTCTTTCTTTTTAAAGAGACAGCATGTTCTTTTATTTTTTTTTCCCCCATTGACCTGAGGTTCTTTCTCAGCGTAAAGGGGTTTTCACTGGTTTTAAGGGGTGGGCCAAAGAGGAAGTAGCTTCAATTTTGTTTTAAAAAAATTAATTACCACGGGAGTTTGAAAGCTAAACCCTAACTATGAAGAATCGGGAGCTGAAAAACAAGCCCTTTCTTTTAAATCCGGCAGTAGTTTTCGAAGAGGTGATGATTTGTGAACATCTGTAGCTTCTGGGCAGTCCCTTTTTGCTTCATTTCTAAAGAAGAGACGTTGTCGGTCTTAATGGTTTCACCACTCCATGCAGCTGCCTGCTTACACCAGCTGGGAGGTTTTTTTTCTCTTGCCCTTCCTCACGTACTGCATTTGTACGCTTACGGTCAGCAGAACACTTGAAGGTTGAGGGCCATATGGGAGTACCCGCACCCAAACACAACCCAAGCTTTTCTTGAGACTGAAATGTGAGAGTCCCACACATTTCAAAACCTCACTGATCACACTAGGGGTGAGGAGGAAGGCGAAATGCTGTCTCTTTAAAGATGTCCTTTATTATTCTTATTCTTATTTTCCCAGTGGTTGCCTACAGATAGCTGTGGGCGTTGAGAGATTGTGTAGATTACAGTAAATCAGAATGAAAAGGTAGATTTTGTGTAGATGCATTTGTCTGCTGTAATTTTTTATATATATTAAACTTACTGTAATTGTACAGTTCATTTCTGTTGTAAACATCATTAAACCATTTTCCAAGTGTTTTAACATGTATGCACTTGTTTGGAGTTTTTTAAATGTGTCGGGGAAGGCCGATTCCCCTTCCCCTGCTGCATCAGCCTGGGCTGGGGGATTGTCCTTTCGTGCTCTTTGTCCTGCCAGAATGGAGGAGAGCCCAGGTTGCTTTGTGCTGCGCTTGAAGCTTTTGTTCTCCTCCTGTGTTATCAACTCCTCTCCTGAAATTAAAAACAGCTTCAGTTGCTTCCTGCAGGCAAGGAGAAGACTCGGCTCGCACCTACGGCAAGTGGCCCCGAAACAAGCATTGGATGCTTTTTGAAGTCAAGATCCGTTTATACATAGGGAGCATAAAGGTGATATTTTTTCCTAAGAATTTCTTCCCCATTTTTTAGCGGTTAGTATTTTATGACTGCTGAAACTTTTGACTTCTACATCTTGCAAATATAGTTATCGTGATTTTTTTTTTTTTAAAATGTATTTTCAGTACGCTTTGTTCTTGCGCCGAGAACGAGAGTGCTTTGCAGTAGCAGCTTTACTGCAGTTTTCAGCTCAGTTGTTGGAGGTATCACCCAATTCTCTCAAATTTTTCTTGTCACTGCAGAAGAAGAGGGAGGGATGTAGGAAATTCCTTGCGAGAAGCATTCATTGCCATGCATGAGATGTCTCGGTTTGCTTTTTTTTTTATTTGCACTAATGTAGTATCTTTGAAATATTCTTCAAACGGTACAAGTGCCTGCTGCAGATGCAGTTTTACTGCCTAAGAAGTCAGGCACAGCCTTGTACTGTAGGTAACGGCAATTCCAGCATGTTTTTCCGCTGCTAACCCAGTCCCTCAAGAAATGAGCAGTAACCTCACCTGGGCAGTGCCCCCAGAGGCGGCTCCTGTTCCTGCCGTCCTGCTTTGGCTCTGCTCCCTCTGTCGGGACTGGCGGAATGAGCTGGTCAGCTCCTTTGAACAGGTCAGCTTTTAACCCAAGTTAAAATAGCCTTTATTTTTGTTGCTGGGCTGGTTTTGTCCTTGCTGAGTTGCTTACAGGCTTTGTTGCGCAGTCTTTTAAGTCACTGCCAAAACTGAGGATGCAGCAGGAGGCGAGTGCTGCGTTTATACTTGGATTTACAGTGTTTTTCCAACATCCCAGCCCACCTCCCGGGATGCATTTAGAGGCTCCTGTCGGAATAGCATCCTCCTCAGCTTGCCTAGGAGGTTACGCTGCTGGGTGTACGTTGGTCCAGCCGGCCTGACTGCATCAGCTAATGAGCTTTGTACCATTCCCACGGTGGTCGTGGGACCCCTTGACCAGACCGGCTGTGGTGTGGTGTGGGCTCTGGAAGAGGTAAAGGCCTGAGCCGTAGCCGGGCCGTGAACTCCTCCTTGTGTTTCAGTCTGTTCTCGGAAAAACCACAAAGGATCAGAGTGGCCCCGTGAGCACTGGTGCCTCTGAGCTTGGAACACCGACCATCCCATCCGCCTGCCACATGGATAGCGGGTGGCTGTTCCCAAGATGCACTTGTCAAGGAACAAAGGAGTTGTGGGTATAAGGAGTCTCGCGCATACCTTTTCCATCGCGCGCCATTTATCCTATACACGTGACAGCCTCGGTGAGCCGCCTTTGAGCTCCCGCAGCTAGGCAGCGTGGCGGTGATCCCCCCTTGAGCCGGGACGCTTGCTCAGGGTTGCTCCTCGAGGCAGAGAGACCTTTTACCAACAGCAGAGCTTTGGTAAGCAACCGACACCGCGCGTAAACCGTCTGGGAACTTTGATTTTTGTCTTGGTAACTTTGGTTGGCATGCTGAATTGATGCTAATGCAATGTTACATAAGCTGTTGTCTGAGTCTGAGACTAAGACGGGACCTAGCTGCGCCTAAACTCCATCGGGAGTTTAAAAAGCAAGGGGGTCCACTCTGAACCTCGCGACTCAACGGGAGGGTCCCCTGTACCCTTTTGCATCCCCGGCCCCTCTGTGAATCATTCTAACTGACTCGAGTGTAAATCATTTTTCCTTTGTATCTATCTTTCTTCCGCGCAGCAATTAATGGCGTGAACCTTGCCCTTGAACTTTGTTAAAAGTCACGCTTCTACAACATCACATTAAAACCCCTTTTGCTAATGGCTTTGTCGGTGATTGCCTAAGTGCTATAAATCCCCCATTTGCGACAGCTGTTCACTGTGCACACGCACGCACACGCAGGTCTTTCTTTGATGCTAACTTTATTAATTCATCAAAAATGCATTACATTACGGAATCAGTATTGTTTTAGAATGATTCCTGCATCATCTTTCAGAGGTAACCTGACAATAGACTGGTTTGGAAACTGCCTTTATGTTAGCTTTGGTACAGTTCCTGTTGCCCAGAAGTGGTAGGTTTTGGCTGCTTCTGACGTTCGAATTACCGTACCAACTCTTACAAGGGGAGCCTGTTCTGCAGCGACAGTTGGAGATGTTGCTGACGTGAGGGGGCAGAAACGGGATTCTCCGGGGTGAGTTTTCCCAGCTTTTCCAGTATTACTCTCTATCGGAGTCCAGTCCCCTTGTTCTCGTTGTAGCAGGGGTATCTGCCACCTTACGCAGGTCACCTGGCTGTTGCTTAGCTCCAGGCGTGGGACGCGTGGCAATGCCGGGGCTTGATCTCTTGCTGGAGCTTAGTGCTCCTTTGCCTCCGACTGAAAAGCTGGCGTTTAGCCTCTGTCCTTCGCTACAGTAACATCACTTTTTACAGTTAAAGAAAAAAGTCATCCCCTGCTGAAGCATTTTTTTAAAAGGTGGATTTAAAGCAAGAAGTTTAGCTGGCCTGTGTCAAGTAGTCTAAAGATAAATACTACAGGAGATAACGACAGCCCTGTCTTTACAGGTTCCTTAAATGCAATGAAGCCATAATTACATGTCTTAATACCCCTGGAAGGCCAGTAAGAGCTATGGGAACAGCTGTGCTAGTGGGTGTGCTCTGGTCCCACAACACAAGCCTTAACAAAAATTGGCCTAATGACCACTATTATGGGAAAAACAACTTTACAAATATGTACATTTTAATAGCTAGAGCTTGCAGTTACGTGATTCAAGAGGGAAGGGACGGACCAAGTCCAGACATATTCCCTCTGCGCACCAACCAAAGTCAGTCGTTGCACTGAGAAAATACCCCATGCTTGTTTGGGATGAAAAAGGCTTTCCCTCCTCTCCTCCCCAGAGCAGGTGGGCGCCTCTCACCCTCGCCCATCCCCTCCCTGACTCCCACTTAGCGGGGGGGCAAAGGCTG